ATATCACACACCAACATGAAAAATGGGGGAAAATCTAACTGTTTTAATGGAAATTTTAGTTTGCCTAGTTTGTTGACTTTTGTGTTAAAGGTTATTTCTAATTAGTACATAAATAAATAAGAAGAGATAGGATTTATTTTCTTTTACTGATTAAAGCTGAAGTCTTAGATTGAACTCAGTGAAGCAGCTGACTTGCGACTTGTTGCTGTTTTATTTTTTTAATTCTTTGAGTGTCAAATGTATACAGTTATGATCATATCCTCCTCCAGTTCCCCCAGGTTCCCTCTTCCAACTACAAGACCTTCCCCCATCCTCCAACTTTATATTGGTTCTTTGTGAGTTTCACATCATATACCCCAGTCCCACTCATCTTCTTGTCCTTTCATAAAGGCCTTTTATTGGCCTTTCATATTGCAACCTCCCCCCACAAAATTAAAAAAAAAAACACAAAAGCAAACAAAAAACAAAGCATGTGAAACATCTCATCATGAAAACTATGCTATGTCACAGCACGTCCCACAGTATAAGTCTCTGTCCACACATTTTCACTTGCAAATGTTCATTGCAATGAGTCAGTGGTCTCTTTCGAGATCCCTGGCTTCTGAGACACCATCAACATTGGATCCTCACTTGGTCTTCTTTCAGTTATTGCCCTGTGTCATGGAGATCCTGCAGCTTTGGATGCAGGACCTGCCCTTTGACATGCTCCAGCAGTTCATAGATGGAGTAGATTGGGAGGTTGGCCAACTCAGAGCCCTGGATGTAGGCCTGGGTGGTAGCCGAGTTGGTCAGCCTGCCAGCTCTCCAGCACCCACACCACCAGGGCAAGCTCTCCAGGACTGCTCAGGCTAGGCCACCCAGGGTACGCAGTAGGCAGCATAGAGGGGAGTTAGGCATCACCTTCATACACACACCACCTCACGGTGGACAAGGGGCTGGGCCAGCTCTCTTGTACTTATATCCTTGAGGCCTGCTCACCTGCCTTGCCTCCAGAAGGGCAAATCAAGTGAGCATTTGTGCTGCCCAAGTGAAGTGCAGGGCCTGTTCTCACCAGTGCTGCAGCTGGTGAAGGACAGAGCCACCTCACCTACTATCATGACTGTAGGGTCAGCTCTCCCAACTGCCTCAGGTGGCGAAGGATGAGAAGTTGGAAGGCATCACCCCCATACCCATGCCACCTCATGGCTGATCAGTGGCGGGGCTAGCTCACCTGCACTGCCAGGGTCAGCTCTGCTGTGCTGACCAGGTGAGGTGCAGGGCCTGTTCTCCTGAGTGCTGCAGCTGTTGAAGGACAGGGATAGCTCTCCAGTGCTCATGACTCTGTGGGCATTCAGTACTGCCATGGAGATGGGTGGGAGGGGCAGCAGATAAGTGACTGGTCAACTCTACCACACCTCTGCCACTAGAGTCAGTTCCACTGTTCTCGGCAAGGAGCTGGGCCTGCTCTCTAGAGTGTCACTGCTGGTGAGAGGTGGTGTCACCTCTCCAGAGTGCCACAACCAGTGAGAGGCATGGCCATTTCTATAGAGACACTGGGCACCCAGGTGGTCCCGGCAGCTGCCTGATCATGGATGTCTCCATATTCTGTAGTGGTAAAATGAGCCCTGCACATTGATACCAACCCCTGCCACTACACAGCCAGGAGCCCAGACATAGCCCTAGGCAGCAGTTTGGGCTGGAACCTCACCATGGTCCCAGGTGGTAGTGCTGACCACTCACAACAGGCTACTCTTCTCCACCCACGAGTCTCCAGTTCCATTTCTCTTCATAATGCTCAAGTTGCTCCACTTCTCTTTCTCTCCCATCTGTCTTCCACATACTCACACATTGTGGTGGCTTCCACGGCAGGCTGGGCTTGAGGCTGGTGGCCTCTGGGTGACATTTGGCAAGCAGGTGTCTATAGCTTGTTTGTGCCATGAGGCAGAGGGCAGGTCTCTGGTTGGCATGGCAGTCCACAGGACTATCTGTCCTCCTCTTCCAGTGCTGCCTGTATGGTGGTAGGCAGGGCTCTGTGTGTGTATGGCCTGCCAGTGCCCGTGGGCTAGAGGGCTGGTCTGAGGGTGTTTTTCCCTGCCTGCATCTCGTGGCATGGCAGAATGCAGACCTCTGTCTTCCTTCTCCGTACTGCACTGCCTAGATTTGGTTTGATTAGATTTTTATGTGTCTTAGGCATTTTACAGCTTTGGCTATCAAGTGAGCTAGGATGAACAAAGATCTGTCATTTGTTCTGCTGACTGATATAAGAACAACACTAACAACATGTTTCTTTGCCCATTGCTGGGAATTTTCTACTCTTTCTTTAGAAAATAACACAGTAACTCCAATTAATGTTGCCCATAAATGCATGAGTGTGGGACATTCACTGGAGTGGTCAACCTACCAGAGGCTAGCTCCTCTTCTCCAGCTTCTATCAGCTGCCCCTGGTGTCTCCACAGGTAGGAACGAGGCCTATGGACTCCTCCCCCATTCATATTGGAATTTCGGCTGGCTTGTGCACAGGTAACTACAGCTGCTCTGAGTTCATGAGTGCAACAGCCATGTCATGTCCAGGGAATTGCATTTCACAGCACTTCTTCCCACGCACCTTCTTATATGTTTTCTGCCTCCTCTTCCAAGAGTCATGAAGGGTTGGGGATGGTGTTTAATAAACAGGTCCTACTTTTGGCTGAATACTCAGAGATTTTTTTATCTCAGCAACCTGCTGCCCAATGTAAAAAGAATGCTTTCTGGCTGAGGCTGAGAAGAGCCCAGACCTGTGGGTATAAGCTTAGTATTTAGAAGGCATTTGATAGCATGGCCATCAAACTTAACAGTAAGCTCTACTCTAGGGTGTGTTATCTTCCTCCCAAGTGCCTGGCATGGACTTTTGGACAAGGGCTGCAATACCATGCCAGGTGTGAAAGTTCCCTGCTGTCAAGCAGACCTCAGAGCTAGTCGGAAAGCAGATGAGTACTCCATGACACTTAGGCCCCTTCTGCACAAGTGACATGTCTTCCCTTTCTGGTTGGTACTGCAGTATGCAAAGTCCATTGTGGGGTCAGACCATTGATGTCTTTTGTCTCCCAGCAGCCTAATGAAAGCTGGCCAGTGGAGAGAACGTTTCTTCATAGGGTTTCAGGTGACTTCTTTATATCCTTTGACAAACATTGATGGTGTCTTTAGCAGTTTGGTCTTACTTAATGGTTATGACAGGTACCAAGAGCAGTGGTGTGGCCAGTGTTGTTTTGCACACCTCTGGGGAGGTGCCCTGTGCCTGCTGCTGAAGTTTTTATTTAATAGCCGTGTCTTCAGGGAGCAGCACTGTCCATTTCTGCTTACTTCCTCCATTTAAACTACTACTTTAGAAACACATTTTGAAATTATCCTACTAACCAGTAAGTTCCCATAAGGCTTTTTCATGCAACCTTAGTTTTGGTTAACCCATCTCCTCCAACCCCACCCCCATTTTACACCTTTAACCCCCACTATGCCACCCTCTTCTTTCACAGGTCATGTGTTCCACCCTTTTCTCCAACAACATTTTTATTGGGTTATAAGATAGATTTTTTTTTAATATGCCTTTTCTCTAGGTTACCCAAAGGACTCAATGCTTTTTATTGAAGACTGAAAATTAATTTGTCATAGTCTATTAAACTATCAATCCTGAAAATTTCCAATTTTGTGTTTATTTATGGAAAATGCCTGAATGTTTCTCCTCTTCAGATCCTATCCTTTGTCTTTTTCTCCCCCACCATTCTAGCCTGTGTTGCAGTGTTTCTTGATACCATCAGCCCTCGAATATCATTCAGGTACCCTTTGGGGTACCTGTTCTTGAGATGGAGTTACAGTAGGACATGTACACACATGCACACAGTGCTTCTGCATCCTCCCAGGGCAGAGACAGGGACAGGGACAGGGGAGAAAGAGTATGAGGGAGAGAGTCAGAGAGAGACACACATACAACCAGAGAGAGACAAAATGATGTATGCAAGTCTCCATTTGCACACCTTCAGTTCTTTCTCTTTCTCTGCGCCTGTGTCTTGTACTTGTTGGGGGTGAAAGTCTATATTGCTTGTGGAAATACTTGACTATGCCACTGGTACACAACTAGAGACAGTACACAAAATGAGTAAAAACATGCCATTTCTATATTCTGAAACTGCAAGTGGCAGGTGGTAGGCAGTAGATGTTTGTAGAAGTAGGCTTTACTTGGAGAAAGTTGGGTTGTGGTGAGGGATGCTACCTCCATTCTTCCTATTTATAGTAATAGAGTTGTCTCTATGCACTTTGTGAGGACCGAGCCAGGACAGATTAATTTTCCTGTTCCTGCTACTTCTCTGAGGAAGGAGAATCAGTGAGTTTCAGATGGATGAACCTTGAAACAGGATGAGATTATTCCAGCATCAGGGGGAAGGGGGTGAATTACAGAATACAGTATGCTAACTTACAATAGACTGTGATGTGTAAGGAGGGGGCCTGAAGTTGGGAGCAGGCTGACCGAAGGCTGTCTATGTTATCCAGGCTAACTTAGAGTCAATTTTCAAAAATTATAAAAATATTGAAATAAAAATATAATTACATCGTTTTTGTTCTTCCCTTTCTTCCCTCTCTCACATCACCCTTGCTCTTCGGATTTGTGTCTTGGAGCCAATTCTTGATAGGACTAGATTTAGACTGCCAGGCCACAGCAGTAATCAGGGTGCTGGGGCTGCTCAACACTTAGCTGAGAACAGGATGGGGTAGTTCCTGTGAGGCTTACTTACTATTTTATGTTTGTCCATGTATACCTTTGTTAGCATAATGTAGCTGAAGGCTGCCTTGAGAGCCACATTTCGTGCACTTTTAACTTACTAAGATTTCATTGGTAAAATGGAAGATGTGTCATTACCTGAAAAAGAAAAGTCATGTCGACTTAAGGGTCCTTATTTCTGCATTTGATTTCCTTCCACAGTGGAGCTGATCAGACTCCACACCTGCAGTTCTGGGTCACATGCTTCATGGGTATCTTTTTGCCTTCACAGAAATAGAAAAGTTTCAAAAGGGAGAAGGCAAGGATGAAGAGAAGTACATTGATGTGGTGATTAATAAGAACATGAAGCTGGGACAGAAAGTGTTGATTCCTGTAAAACAGTTTCCCAAGGTAAGGCGTGTGCCGTGGACTGCTGTTAACCTGAGCCCCAGGAGCAGATGCTGCAGCCGAGGCTCTGACCTTCACATGCTTGAGGATAACTACAGCTGCATAATGAACTGAGAGATTTGATTCTTTTGTTTGACTTAGTAGAAATAGTGAAGTCGTAAGAAATATGCTTATGCCATACTAGTCATGTGCACAGCCTGCCATTCTTTTCATTTTCCTCATGTAAAATATAAAATTGAGTGGTTTAGAACTGAAATTGTTTATGTGAGATGCATAGAACATTAGACATATGCATACTTAAAGAACACCTGTTGGCGCAAGCTTTCTTTTGGTGTCTGTATATGGTTCAGACACAGTGTTTTTTAATCTCATTGTTCATCCCTTTGTATGGCAGAATGATAATCCTTACCTAGTGTACTAGAGCTAGTTTAGATGATTTTCATTTTGATGTACTACATACATTGCATGAGTGTTTTACTACAAGCCATTTTGTGACAGGTATTTTCATTTGTCTGGCCAAATGCCAAGTATTGAAATTGAGCTATGTTCAATTTTTCAAAGAATTACCTTGTTTTTTCCCCCAAAGTGGTTGCATAATGTGATGTGTCCATAGGTAAAGTGTTTGTTTGAATCAATATGTCGCAGTATCACGCGTTTTGTTATTATTATTCATTCTGTTGTTTTTTTCTTGTGTGTGTGATCTTACATTTCCCTAGTGAGTTAGAACATTGTCTATTTGGGTCTGCTATTGTCAAGGTCACAGTTTTGACCCATTGATCTCTGGGCTACATGTGCTTTTATGGTTGACTGGTTGGAACTGTTTACAGGTTCTAGCTACAAGTCTTTTTTAAGTGTGTACTTTGCAAATGTTTGGCTCAGTCTTTGGCTTGCTGTTTTTAATTTGTTGACTCTTCAAGGAGTCTGTCATTTTTTTCAATGTTTTATTTTATAATTACTTCCTTCAATACACTTAAGAAAAAAATATTAGAATCTTTAATAAATTGTAAATACATTCTTCTGTTTTTTTTTTTTAATGAAAATTCTTTTTTAATTATCATTTTAGCTTTTACCTTAAGGGCCATGAGTTTTGTAAACTGTGTAACTTAAATGTTTGCTGTGTCTTCCAGAAATCCCTTTGTTAGAATCTTAATCTTAGACTTTACTGTCACTCATGTTTGGAGGTGGGACCTTTGGAAGGCACAAGAATTATATAGTTCATGAAGGGTTCCCACAGTGATGACATTAGTTGCTTTTAAACACAGGTAGAGAAAGACTGGGAAGGTGACTCAGTGGGTACAATGTTGTTTAGGCATGAGGCCCTGAGTTCAGATCGCCATTTCCCATGGAAAGGCTGGTGATAGCAGCATGCTCTGTAACTTTATCTGTGGTTGGTTGGATACGGGAAGCCAGCCAAAATAATGAACTGTGGATTCCCTAAGAGAAATTGTCTCAAAAACTAAGTGGAAAGCAATGCACATCAATAACCACCTGACTCACATATATACTAAAATAACATAAAGAGAGAAAGAGGAGGAAGAGTCACCCAAACTAGTATGTATGCTATTTGCATGTGATATTTGCATTCATGTTGTACAGTGCCACAAAGTCCCTTAAAGTGGTAAGCTGACCATTCTCCAGTGGAAAAATCACACAACCAAGAATATTTGAGCAGCACAAATTGGTTTTGAAGAGTTATTTTTTAAAAGGAGGGAGAAGGCAGACACAAAGATGGTGGCTAGGGAAGGGGTGTGTGTGAGGGACTAATAAGAAACCCTCCCCTACCAGTGGACTTGGGGAGGGGAGCGTGTAGAGAAGATAGAGGAAGTGAGGGGTTGGGAGGGGAGGAGGGAGGGAACTCGAGGGGGGATACAAAGTAAATAAAGTAAAGTATAAAAAATAAAAAAAAGAATAAAAGCATTGGAAAGAAAAAATAAATTGTACTAAATAATAAAGAAAAATTTTAAATATTTATAACACACACACACACACACACACACACACACACACACACACTGCAAATTCTGGTACTCTGCTCTGGGATGTCTCAGCCTACTGTTAGCCAGGAAACATCACCTCTGTTCAAGTATTTTGTTACAACAGCGGAAGATGGGATGCGGCAGAAGTCAAGCTTGTTTTCTCCCCACGAGAGTATTTGCAATTCTCATCAGATTTGCTGCTTTCTATCCGTGGGTTGATTTAGCACCTTTGGTACATATCAAATGGCTGAGGAAGTGAGGTTTACTTCTTGTGCTTCATTTTGTTCCCCTGATGTATTTATGGATCCTTATGCCAGGACCACAGTCTTGTTTCCTGAAGCTTTTTATGGAGAGGCATGAATGGCTGAGTTTAGACCTTCCCTTTCAGGATTCCTTACATATGCTGGATCTTTTACAGTCCTGTTAAATTTAAGAATTCATTCATGGACTTGCACAAAATGACCTGCTGCATTCTGGCTGCACCTGTGTTCTGTCTCTTACTCTGGAGACTTCACCCTCTTCCCAGATCTTACTCTTCCCTGGGTGAGTGTGGCACAGCTGTCCATTTATGGAGACATGCTCAGATTCTTCTCAGTACAGGTCGTCTGTGCCGGCTTCGATAGTGATAGTTATTCACTAATCAGAAACTGTGTATTTTAAACTATTTATTTTCTAAGCTTGTAGCACACCATTTGCTATCCTTATTATCTGTTTCTTCTTTCTTTTGCTAAATTCCTAGTTTTATTAAGTTGTTTGGTAGATTTGTTAGGATCTCTAGTTACATAATCATACTGTCTGCAGAAGCTGCTTTACTTCCTCCTTATTTGTATTTGTGGTAAAATACTGAACACTGGCGGTAGAGGTAGAGCAGGAGCTCTTTGCTTCTTAAAAGAAGAAGCATGTATGATTCTCTTACCTTTCATCTTTGCTTCACGCTTATTGGTGAAGTGTATGAGAACAAATGAAGATGAGCTTCTAATTTTCCCATAGTTGCTTGTCCCATTCACTACTCTGTGGAGAAAGCCTGCCCCTAACGTTTGGGTGTAATCAGGGCAGGAGTCAGGCGCTCCTGCTGACTCTCTACCCACTGCTGCACCTATTACCTACTTTTCTCACAAGTGATGTGCTCCATCTTTATAACTCAGGGAAGTTTCTTAATTAGCAGATTAAGACAGTCTTTTTTTCTTTTTTTTCTGTTTTTTTCTTCTTTTAATTTTTAAAAATAATTTTTATTTTTTTATATTAATCACAGGTTATTTACTTTGTATTCCCAGCCATAGCCCCATCCCTCATTCCTTTCTAATCCCACCCTCCCTCCCTCATCTCCTTCATCTCCCTGCCCCTTTCCAAGTACACTGATAGGGGTGGTCCTCCTCCCCTTCCATCTGACCCTAGTTTATCAGGTATCTTCAGGACTGGCTGTAATGCCCTCTTCTGTGGCCTAGCAAGGCTGCTCCTCACTCGGTGTGTGTGTGTGTGTGTGTGTGTGTGTGTGTGTGTGTGTGTGTGTG